AGCCTCTTGATGAAAGTGAAAGAGGAGAGTGAAAAAGTTGGGTTAAAACTCAACATTTAGAAAAGATTATGGCATCTGGTCCCATCACTTCATGGCAAATAGATTGGGAAACAGTGACAGACTTTATTTTGGGGGGCTCCAAAATCACTGCAGATGGTGACGGCAGCCATGAAATTAAAAGATGCTTGCTCCTTGGAAGAAAAGCTATGACCAACCTAGACAGCATATTAAAAAGCAGAGACATTACTTTGGCAACAAAAGTCCATCTAGTCAAAGCTATGGTTTTTCCAGTAGTCATGTATGGATGTGAGAGTTGGACTATAAAGAAAGTTGAGTGCCGAAGAATTAATGCTTTCGAACTGTGGTGTTGGAGAAGACTCTTGAGAGCCCCTTGGACAGCAAGGAGATCCAACCAGTCCATCCTAAAGGAAATCAGTCCTGAATATTCATTGGAAGGACTGATGCTGAAGCTGAAACTCCAATACTTTGGCCACCTGATGCGAAGAACTGACTTATTGGAAAAGACCCTGATGCTGGGAAAGACTGAAGGCAGGAGAAGGGGGTGACAGAGGATGAGATGATTGTATGGCATCACCAACTCAATAGACATGAGTTTGACTAAACTCTGAGAGTTGGTGATTTACATGGAGGCCTGGCGTGCTCCAGTCCATAGGGTTGAAAAGAGTCAGACATGACTGAGTGACTGGACTGACTGACTGACATGCAATATATAATCCTTGACTGGATTCTAGATTTTTTAAAAGCTCTAAAAGACATCTTTGGAAAAATTGGAGACATTTAAATATGGACTATATATTAACAAAAACATTTTTTTTTGAATGTGAGAATTGTAGTTAGTTATATAGGAGAATGCCCTTGTTCTTAGGGCAATACAGGCTAAAATATAGAGGGGTGAAGCTTCACAATGCCTTCAAGTAACTTTCAAATGATTCAACAACAAACACATGTATAGTTATACAGAGATTTTCAAAACATAGCAAAAAATTTAACATTTGAGAGGTGAAGGGTATTCTCGCAACTTTTCTATTGGTTTGAACATTTCTAAAATAAAGTGATAGGAAAGTTAACTTAATCTGAGCAGTAGTTACAAGGGCATTAATGTATGTTTTTAAAAAACAAAACATTGAACTGTACACTTAAGATTTGAACTTTTTTTTTTTGTTTTCTTACCTTTTTTATTTTATACCTTAACAATAAGTGAGGGGGGGAACAATGGCTCCCTGTCTGCTAGGTGAAGTAAGGATTCTAATATGGCTTGGTTTTGGAGAGAATCGTTTTCCTGGCCCTGGGCTCTACCTCTTGAAAGCACCGGTGCCTGATATACACTAGGCTCTGGCTCAGTAGATATCTGTTCAATTAATCAAGTTCAGCCACAAATTGTCCCATCTTATCTTGCCCTCTCCTCCACCTCTTCCCTTTCCTGATCATTTTTCTGCTGTTAAAAAACAAAATTCAACTAAGTAAATTCTAAAGATCTTATTGACTTTATTCAACAATTTATAAATCAGGACACATCCAATTTAGCACTTAGAAAGGCACTCTGAGGAGCTGTACAAAATGAAAGGCTTTTATAGGTAGAAGGAACAAGAAATTAAACTAGGCAAAAAGCAGATTGGTTATTACCAGGTTACTTTCCTTTAGGGAATGGTAGAGGATCTATCAGGTAGATGACATAACTAATACTGATCAGGCAACTCCTGATTAACTTATTTAAGATCCCATTTCTGGGAGAGGCAAAACTGTATTGAAGTCTCCCTTTGTTGACATGGGGCTTAGCATAAGCAACTCAATTTTGGACCTGTTGCTGTATTTTTTAACATCACTCTAAAAGAGCTTTACTCTTGGGACTTCCCTAGTGGTCCAGTGGTTAAGAATCCGCCTGCCAGTGCAGGGGACACGGATTCGACCCCTGGTGCAGGAGGATCCCACATGTCATGGAGCAACCTGTGTGCGCCACAACTGAGCCCATGCACCCTAGAGCCCATGCTTAGCAACAAGCAAAGCCACCGCAACGAGAAGCAGACACACCAAAATGAGAGAGTAGATCCCGCTCACCACAACTAGAGAAAGCCCACACAGCAACTGAAGATCCAGAGCAGCCAAAAAATAGATAATTGATTAAAAAACAAAACAAAACACAGCTTTACTCTCAACTTTGAAGCACTTAAAATAATTTCAGCAATTCTTTTATATACTCGGTGAAAGCAGTTATCTAAATTTTCGTAACTCTAAATCTGTTCCACCCTCACAATCACCCTATGAGGTTGGTAAGAAACTGGGGCTCATAGAGATTAATTACCCAGAGTCACGCTGTTCGAAGTAGTGGGTCTGGAATTCAAATTTAAGCTTACTCAGGGTCCACACTTTAAACATTCCAGCTATTTTAACTATGTCCCCAACAGTCTGACCACAAAATAAATGTTCAAATTGTTCTTACTGAGGCCTGCATTAATTTCTTACAGAAAACATAAGACATCTCCCAGACGATGTGAGAACAGTGACTGGTAGCGGGAGGCACTCACTACAAAATGGTTTCTGGAAGCCCATCAGTTAAGAAGGGAACATATGACTCCAACCCCTAAGCGGCGCTGTCCTCCTCCGAGGACCAGGGTGACCCGCAAGATGAAACCTAAACCGTTAGAGCAGGATTGACTCTCAGGACTGCAAGTCGCAGGCGGAGGCCCCGCCCCATCCAGGGCGCAGGCGCATGCGCCCGGCAGGCCCGGCCGGCCCCGCCCCTTGCTACTCCGGCTCCCACCTCTGTTCAGGTAGGGGGCGGTGTGCGGGGGAGGGGCGTCTCCTGAGGGCGGAACTGGGGCGCGAGTCTCGGGTGTTGCGGCTCTTTTGTCCGAGGTCCAACTTTCTACTCCACAGAGCTGTTTCTGCGGCTGCCGGTTCGGGGTCAGGGGCACTCGCTGTCTGGGACCAGACCGCGCCGGCTCCTTTGTGTTGCACGACTCCTGGGGTCTCCGCACCACTCCAGCCCCTGCCCTCGGGCCCTCGGTCCATTCCCAGCCGGAGTCGGGTGTCCTGAGTAGCTTGAGGACACGGGGCTGGGCAGGTGCCGAGAGCACGCCGCCTCGCTCCCTCCTTCCCCTTCTTACCGCTCGGCTCCACCCCGCCAGGCCGAGCCACTCGGCCGCCGAAGCGAGGGGCCTTTGGGGCCTCCGAGCGGCCAACTGCTCCGCTTGCGCCCACGCCTTCTGCTCCAGTTGCTTTCCCCACCGAGCCGAAAAGCCGGGGGACGTGTTGCCAGGGCCCTGGGAAGCGGGGAGCTTGGGCACTGCGCCGGGAGTCCGCCGCTGCACCTTCCCGCCCACGGGCCGTCCGGTCACGGTCCCTGAAGCCCCAGCCTGCCAGACCCGAGCCCATACTGACGTCAAGGATAAAGGCGATCAGACCTCAGCCCCTAGCGGGGCTTTCGATGTGACACTGTGTGTCTTGAGCTAGGGAGTTTCTCCTGCCTCGCCTTGCTTACAGTTCTGCAACTATCAATACACAGTTACACCCCACCGTGTGCTAAAAAGCATCGGGAGTTACAGGGCTTGAAGTCAGCTCTGGAAGACTTGGAAGAGAGGTTGTTTGGCGTTCGTGTCTGATTGAATGTGTATGTGTAGAAACTAACGCAGCACCTAGTGCGGTGCCTCGCAACCAGTAATCCCTCAATAAACTTTCCCTGAATGAATGAGGTAAGTGGCTGAGGAAGCCGGCTAGATCATTCCACCCCTGCCTCCCCTGGGCGCAAGGAGACAAAAGTAATTAGGTTAAGTCTTTAATCACCGCTGGTCTCATAGGCTCGCGGAGGCGGAAGCGCCGTGAAAGAAATCCTGGTGACACCAGGTGCTGGCCTAGGTCAGGGACACTGCCTTCCCTCCCGAACCCCCTCCAGCCCCCACAGCTTGGGCGTCAGTAATCTATTTTCTTGTCTCCCTCAGGACACCGGGTTCCCTAGGAGCCGCCCCAGGCTTAATGATTGTCCAGAAGGAGGCTATAAAGGGAGGCTGGGTGGAGGAGGGAGCAGAAAAAGCCTAACTCAGCAGACCTGGCACTGAGAGCCCGCCAGCCCCAGCCGTGGTCAGAGACTTTGTGTCCCAGCCAGTAGGGCCTGCTCCCTGCCACCATGGCAGCCCGAGGCTATGGCTATTACCGAACCGTGATCTTCTCGGCCATGTTTGGAGGCTACAGCCTGTACTACTTCAACCGCAAGACCTTCTCCTTTGTCATGCCGTCGTTGGTGGAGGAGATCCCTCTGGACAAAGATGACTTGGGTGAGTCCTGGCAGGGCCGGGTGGTGGGCCCAAGAACACAGGACCAGCAGGACAAGCTGGGTGTCTGTGCAGTGTGGTGGGTATAGGCACGGAATATGTGTGGATTGTCTGCACAGCTGAGCCAGCGCATGTGCAGGATGAAGCAGCTCTGAGATCCATGTCAGTAGGCACTGGTAAAGGACTGTGGGTATGGTCTATGCATGTCTGACGGCTGCGTTTCTGATGTGTGTGCACATGTGTGTGCATGCATGGGTGCCTGTGACCAACAGGTGTCTCGGAGGCACTGTGTGTTAGGGGGATTCTGAGCAGTTTCTGCACTTTGTGGGTGCAGGCTTAGACCACAGGGTGAGTGCTGGCTGCTGACACTGTGAGTGCTGGGAACCACGGAGCTGGCACAATGACTCCATGTGGTCTAGCAGGCTATCCCTTCAGGAGGAATAAGGTCCTTGACTCCAATTCTAAGCCTTTGCCCCATGTTCAGAGGTGGGGCAACAGAACTGCGAGAGGCCGAGTGAGGGGGAAATCAGGTATATGAGAATCACAGGGAGGAGGGCTGTCCTGCCCCCGACAGCTGCTGCTAGAACTCTCCAAGAGGCTGACAAGTCATGGGTCAGCCTGGGGCTAATGCTAATAGAGAGATAGGAGGAATAGCCTGGCACCATGAATGAATGTCAGGAATCCTTCCTCTTGGAAGGAACCTGTCTCACCCTGCCAAGCACCTCTACACACCTGACCCCATGACTTCCTCCACCCTCCTGTGCCTTTGCCCTGTCCCTAACCCCCCAGGTGTCCTGCTCCCTGCTCCCCTCCTCTGCAGGGCTCATCACCAGCAGCCAGTCCGCTGCCTACGCCATCAGCAAGTTTGTGAGCGGGGTGCTATCTGACCAGATGAGTGCTCGCTGGCTATTCTCTTCTGGGCTTCTCCTGGTTGGCCTGGTCAATGTAGCCTTTTCCTGGAGCTCCGCGGTGCCTGTCTTTGCTGCTCTCTGGTTCCTCAATGGCCTGGCACAGGGGCTGGGTTGGCCCCCATGTGGCAAGGTCCTGCGGAAGGTGAGTGTCTGCTTCCAAGGAGCCGGTTCAGATTGGCAGAGAGGACACCTAAAGACTATATGGGTGCACCGGCACCTCCACCCCAGAGCAGTTTCCTCAGGAGTTTCAGCCCAGCTCCTGTTGCTTGTCAAGATATTTCAGGAGGCTGAATGTGGTGGGATCAGGTGGCAGATGAGGGAATTGGCCTTGCCAAGTAGAAGCGCCCTTTCCCTCCTTCCTGTAACGTGAGCTCCTGGGTCTGTCCCACCTGACCCCACCTTCCGTATGGACTGGAGGCTGGGCACCTACTCTGTTCCTCTCTGCCCCACAGTGGTTTGAGCCATCTCAGTTTGGCACTTGGTGGGCCATCCTGTCAACCAGCATGAACCTGGCTGGAGGGCTGGGCCCCATCCTGGCAACCATCCTCGCCCAGAGTTACAGCTGGCGCACCACGCTGGCCCTGTCTGGGGCACTGTGTGTAGCTGTCTCCTTCCTCTGTCTCCTGCTCATCCACAATGAACCTGCTGATGTTGGACTCCAAAACCTGGACCCCACCCCCTCCAAGGGCAAGAAGGGTGAGTACCCACCAAAGCCACCCTCTGGGAACCTTCATCATTCACCTAGCAGACTCTCGCTGAAGACAGCTGTATGCTTGGCCCTGTGCTAGCCAATGGATGTCAGGGGAGGGATGGTGATGGAGTGGGTGGGGAGTAAGTAAAACTCCATCCTGAGAGACAGTTAAGTGCCAGACAAGTGGCAGAGCCAACAAATGCTATGACTCATGTTATAGCCTGGTCCTTCCTTATAACAAAGCCACACTTCCTTGTGTGGACAGCATCCTAAGCTCAAGTGTCTTGGGTACCTCTTCCATCCTCACTGGTCCTCACATTCAGTGGAGGGGAGAGGGCAGAACATTAGGTGAGGGGTTACCTTTGTGCTGATCCTTGTGTATGTGGATGGACTCTGTCCCTGTGGCTAGTTAATGAATGGTGGGGGCTTGAGGTGGGCAGGGCAGCTGGAGCAGAGTCTGAGGCCTGGCCTCCTCCCACCCCCAGGCTCCTTGAAGGAGGAGAGTACCTTACAGGAGCTGCTGCTGACCCCTTACCTGTGGGTGCTCTCCACTGGCTACCTTGTGGTGTTTGGAGTAAAAACGTGCTGTACTGACTGGGGCCAGTTCTTCCTCATCCAGGAGAGAGGACAGTCTGCCCTCGTGGGTGAGATGAGTGTTGGGATGGGGCAGGCCTAGGGAAAAGGAGCCAGTGCAGGGGATGGGAAATTCAGGCCCAGTTCCCTTTGTCCCCTCTCCTCTTTCCCTGAGGCCAGACACTACTCAGGCAGCTGTAGTCAGTCACGCTTGGGGACCCTGTGCCTATCTGGGTTTAAGCCAGTCTGGGACAACCCCAGGGTGTAACACCCTTCCACCCTCCCTTTCCCTCTTCCTACTGCAACTCCTCACTGCAGGTAGCTCCTACATGAGTGCCCTGGAGGTTGGGGGCCTTGTAGGCAGCATCGCAGCTGGCTACCTGTCAGACCGGGCCATGGCCAAGGTGAGTGGGCAGAAGGGACAGGAAGGAGGAGGGTCCCTTTAAATCTTCCCAGCATGACTGGGACACCAGAAGTGTTAGCCTTGGGCACATGTAGCCTGGCATGTGCTGGTTTAGGCCGGGTGAGGTGGGAATGTTACCAGGATATTTTTCTTCGTTAAGAATGTGGAGTTGAAGCTAAATGATGTCAAGGAGAGCCAGCATTTCTCTCCACCTAGCTTCTCCACAGCCCCAGGAAAACCAGGTACAGCCTGCCAGCCCATGTCCTCAAGCCTGCCCAGGTGGAGGAAGGGATGTTGTGGAGTTTGGCCTCAGAACATAAGCAGGTCCCAGGGCCTCCCAGAGCTGCCCTGGGCCAAGAACTGCAGTGGGATTGCCAAAGACCAGTCAGCAGAGGCCTGCTGTGTCAGAGTCCAGGGGTGGGGGTTCTCTGCTGCTCCTGGGGCCTGACATTGCCAGGACTGTGCCCACAGGCAGGGCTGTCCATCTACGGGAATCCCCGCCATGGCCTGCTGCTATTCATGATGGCTGGCATGACGGCATCCATGTACCTCTTCCGGGTCACTGTGACCAGCGACTCCCCCAAGGTAAGTAAAGAGGGCCTGGCTCACGGCAGGGACAAGGATGAGAAAGCAAGGGCCACTGACTCTCTCTCCCTCTCCCTGGCCTTTTTCTGCTTCAGACTGTCCTTTTCAGTTGTTTGTACCTCAGTTCCCCTCTTCTTTACTCTGGTGATCCTCCTTGACTCTGGGCCTGGTTTCTTCTCTCTGTGCTCCTCTAGGATATTGCTTTCTGGACTCCGGCTCTTCACCCTCTTGCTGAGCTCACAGGCTTTACAGAGAATGAGGTGCTCCATCTTTATCTCTGGTTTTTCTCTTGGTCTTGTCTCAGCTTTATCTTACCCCACTCTGCCTTGTCCCCAGCCAGTCTGGCTTGCACAAATCCTGAGAGGGGACAGCATCTAACTCGAGAGGGATGGCTTCTCTACCTTCCTCACCTACCCACACAGGTCCCTTAGGTTGGCTTAGTGTGGCCGCCGCTCCTCCAGTCTGTAGTCAGTTGTACTGGGACGCGGTCTGTATGTGGGAGCCACTTTCTCCTTACAACAACTATTTGTTCCCGGGGCCAAGCATTCTCTCCTGTGGCAAGGGCAGGTAGGTAGCAGTCTTTCTGACTCTAACTGCCACCCTGCACTGCCCTTACAGCTCTGGATCCTGGTGTTGGGAGCTGTGTTTGGTTTCTCCTCTTATGGTCCCATCGCCTTGTTTGGAGTTATAGCCAATGAGTGTGCCCCTCCGAACTTGTGTGGCACCTCCCATGCCATTGTGGGACTCATGGCCAATGGTAAGTGATACCCCCACTGATGCCTTGCACTCAGGCCAGCGAGGGGCTGAATTAAGCCCCTCCGGCTCCAGCCTCACAGTGACACGGGCTCTTCTCCTCCCTGACAGTGGGCGGCTTTCTGGCTGGGTTGCCCTTCAGCACGATTGCCAAACATTACAGTTGGAGCACAGCCTTCTGGGTGGCTGAGGTGATCTGTGCGGCCAGCACAGGTGCGTTCTTCCTTCTACGAAACATCCGCACCAAGATGGGCCGAGTGCCCAAGAAGGCTGAGTGAAGACAGTGCAGGCTCCAGAGCATGCTGTCCTACTTGTGGCCTTTCCCCTCCGTGGTGGTAGGGAGGGAAAGAAGGGAGGGGGCCGTCTTCACTAGCACCTTTTACTTTCCCTTTCTGCTCCTTTTCCCTTATCTACATGGCACTGGAAGTTATCAGTAGTTAATGAGGTCCCAGCTCATCTCATCTCTATTTAAAGGACAACCTTTGTTCTTAGACTCCATTAGCTCCTATTTCCTGCCTTCAAATAGGAAACCCCCTGCACTCAGGAAGTCTCCTATACCCTTCTTCCTCTCCTGAGCCCCACCCTGTCTCCATCTCACCCCATCCTCACCTGAGGTGAGGCATCTCCTGCCTGCAGCAGCTGGGCAACCATGGCCCGAGACTTCTGCCAGAGGGCCTCAGCAAGGAGGCAACTGCTCCTACCAATACCTTGGAGTTCAGGGCCAAAAGGTCACTCTCACCAATACAAGGATACAATAGGTGGGAGGATAGAAAGATTTGTTATAGAGAATTAAAACTAGATTTGATACTAACCTTGTCAGTGAATCATTCTTTCAGAAGGTGTAATACAGAGATAGCTTTGAGAAATACTCCCTTAATACCTGCATTCTCTACCCCAAGAGAGCGAGGGAAAGCTGAAGGGTAAATGGACTCCTTTAAGCTCCTGCCTCTTCTGCCTTCAACTTCATACTGCAGAATTCAATGCACATTTTTAGAGATGACGCTACTGGGTGTCAGGCAGTTTAAATAACTTGCTGGAGGGAGGCAACAGTATAGTCAGAAAGTCTAGGTTCAAGGTCTACTTGAACCTCAAAGCTAGGGTAACTAGCTTTGAGACTTTGAAGCAGAGAGTTTGTACTTTGCTAAATCTTGTCTGTAACACAAACAGGATGAACATCCTGAGCTAAGGGAGAGGATGAAGTGAGATAAAGCAGTAAAATCTGGCTGTGAGCCCTTGATATGTTCCATTATTGTTTTCATTATCATCATCACTACCACACCACCCAGGAAGTCAGTGGCAATCCAAGACTCCTGCTTCAAAGTCCCGTGTTCATTCATTCGCTTAATGAATATATATTTGTTTTGTTTTCTACTGGAACACAGTATCTCAGCTTCCTTGATTCCCTTATCATTCCTGTTTCCCCTTCTGAGGCTTTCTCCCCCAAAGCATCAATTAGGATAGCAAACACTGAGCTCAAAGGAATGTTTATTACAACATTTATGGGCCTACCTCCTATAAATAACCTGTACAGAGTTGGGAAGTAGGACCATGACAGATATAGGAGGAAAGAGAGAATCAGAACATGTCATCAGGCTCAGCATCCTCCCATTTTCAAGTGCACTAACAATGCTGCCAGGATCTCCATCAAAGTGGAAACCGCAGGATTCCTGCTGTAGGATCTCTCAAGAATTTGGTGGGGTCCACTGTAGGTTCAGCCTAAGACCCAGGTCCAAAGGTTCCAGCCTTCTCTGCCACCTCCAGGGCTAACTTCAGGTTCTGGTCAAACAGTTCACACCTAGGCCAGGCCCAGGAGGCACAAGTAAAGACAAAGTGTTAGGCCTGGCTCTCTCCCCACCGTGGGTACAGAGGCAGAGGCAGTGGAAGCTCTGCTTGAAGGCCATCAAACTCAAGGAAAGTCCTTGCTTTCTCAAAAGAATAATTAAGTTAAAGGCTAGTTACTTTTTATTTAAAAATAACTATTACACTTCAAAATGACATTGGGGAAGCAAATACAAGGAGAGGAAACAAGGAGGCTTTGACCAGAATCTGCAGACTGGGACCGCTTACCTGATGGGCATTTCCAGGGAGTAAAATGGATTCTTCAGGGCAAAGTCTGAGTAAATCTCATAAATTTTTCGGAGAAGAGAATCTATCCCAGCCTGCCTAGGATCCGCCAGCACCACAAACTTTATCCCTGGAGAGGGACCAATGATTACCAAAGGGTAGAGAATCAGCAAATAAAACTGTCCTGTTTGTACAGCACTTTATGTGCTCATTTTCATTTTATCCTTATTGCCTCATAAACCATGAAAAGCAAGACTCTGAATTTACAGGGGAGAGCAGAGAAGTGAAATGACTTTATAGCACCACCCAGCTGATGGAGTGACTGGGCTTTGGGTTCTAGCTCTGTTGCTTACTTCTGGCCTGGGTGCCCCTCAGCACAAAGTGCCAGGCAGGGAACAAACTCACGCAGTTTTCCATGCTCTGCCTTCACGAAGTGAGGCAATGCCACTCAGGATCCAAAGGCCATTTTCAACTGGCATTCCAATTTTATTTTGGAACAACACTTACACCTTCCAAAATGTGTGCAACATGAGAGAACACTAAGATGAGTTTATCTGTGCACAGGATAACGAGGGCTGAGCATGGACAAAACTGGCGTCAAGATTAAATATTGGCTTTAGATTCACAAAACAAATAACTCTGCACTTGTCCCAGAAAAGGCTAACCACCACCCCCTTGCTTACCAGAGCCAACTGTGGTTAATGCCTTCCTCCAACCAGACCCATCGCATGCCTTTGGCCTGTCTGGAAGCGCGTACCTGTCAGTGTCTGGAAGCAGTGCAGTTTGAATGTATCTGTCTCCAGCATCTCAATGCCTGAGCTGCCCTGTTCAGGAGACAGCTGGGAGCCAATTGCGAACAGCCTATTTGCAAGAAAGGCAAAGTTGGGAATGCACCTCATTGCTATAAGGGAGGAGTGCTTCTCAAACTTTTCCACCGAGGTGACCCTTACCTTCTGAACACTTAAAATTACAGCTTGAAATAGAAGCAACAGTGTGAACTGCCTGGCAGCAGTATCAAAATTTCGTAAGAATTCATTTGAACTCTGCATGTATTTTACAATCACATTTTGCTATAAAACATACTACATTGAAAACTTTGGGTAAAATTAACACTCTGGGATTACCATGCCATGTTTACCCACCAGCTGACTATGCATATCCAACACATCTTATGATACAACTGACAGCAGGAAAAGATCTTAAAGATCATTTAATCACCTTACTTTAAAGATGAACATATTAAAACTCAAGAAAGAGAAGGTAACTTAGGCAAACAAAACCACACCACTGCCAGCATTACCTAAAGCCTTGTCATACTGGATCAATTCTTTTCATGACACAGAACTGACAATTTAGGAGGTAGAGAAGGCTGATGGGACCCTACACTCAGACGGAGAATAAACGACATTGGAGGTGGACAGCTTGCCCAAGATCCTTGACACAACTTGTACGATCATTATTTTCTTGACTTCTTGAAACTCAGCATACAAATCAAATGTTTTTCTATCATAGGCATGATCCTATGCTAGTTTTGGAAATCAATCCAATTGTTGGGTTTGTGACCAATTAACTATGTCTAGTAGTTCTGGGTTACCTTGGTGGACTTCACCCCTCAAATGCTCTAACTGGCTGGCCCTGAGAAAATTTACTTTAAAGAAAAATTATAGTTATGTTCAGGTCACTCTTGGTATGACTAGATGGACTCCCCTCACCAGGCCAACTGATAATGACTACTCTGACCCCAGTCATAAATATGAGTTTTCTTCTATTACTCAAGCTCAATCAGAAAAACAAGCAAAGGTTTAGCCAAGGAATAAAATCTCCCACAATTATGGAATGGATTTATGTAGATGGGGTGTCCCTGGTGGCTCAAATAAATGGTAAAGAATTCCTTTGCAATGCAGGAGACCCAGGTTCCATCCCTGGGTGGGGAAGATCTCTTGGAGAAGAGACTGGCTACCCATTCCAATATTCTTGCCTTGAGAACTCTATGGACAGAGGAGTCTGGTGAACTACAGTCCATGGCAGGTGGGAGGGGGGTTACAAAGAGTGGGACACAGCTAAAGGGCTGTGTTACTTTTTTAGAGAAAGGTAAGCACCGCCAGTCAGCAAGTCTCTGAGCGCAGAACTACACTAATCCAGTCAGCCTATGAGCCAAGAGTTGTGGGACTTACGAGTGGAACATGGAGGCCAGCATGAGCTTCTCATTGGAGGTGAGGCGAGGGCGGCCGAACCGAATGGACACTGGGTAGTTAGCAGGGTTGCCCAGGTACTCCAGCACCTCTTTCCCATCGGCCGTATACTTGCCATTCACGTCCACACCATTGATAGCCAGCACTGCGTGGCCCACTGCAATGGCGAAGCTAAGGGTCAACAAAGCCTCAGACTGCGGATCCCGCCAACAGTACAAATGACCCGGCCCCCAATTTCATCCGCTGCCCTCCCAGAGATAGCAGCCCACCAAGGCAGCACCTGGCCCCGCCTCATCCCCCCCAACCCAGCGCCCCGGGAACGAGCCTAACCCACCCCGGATGCCGTCTCGCTGGCCAAAAGCTACCAGCACACGCTCGTCGTGCAGCTTAAGCAGCAGATCCAACGGGTAGCTGAAAGTTTTCTCAGCCTCGGCCCGTGGGGCGTAGCTGTCCAACTGGTAAATAAGGCCGCCAGCTTTGTTCACCACATAAACACTGAAAATCGCCATAGCTGCCGCTGAGGCTGCCGGACTAGGACACAGCCTCTTCCTCCCGGCCCCGCCCCGGAAGCACAGCACGGGACCCGCTCTCGCGCTCCAGACCGTGCTTCCGTTCCCCGGCCCGCGGGGCCCGCTGAGACGCTTGCGCACTTGGAGCACGCCTGAGTGCCAATAACAGAGGGACTTTAGATGCCGGGACCTACGAAATTGTTCTCCTTTCTTTTTTACCGGATCTAAGCGCCAGGAAAGTGTAAAACGTGACTGCCTCAGAACTGGCCGCAAAATCGAAAAGTCAGGGATAACGCCGAGAGTGTGACGTTGCGGAGGTGGACCCTGCTTCCGTAGCTAGTTCCGGGTCTGAGCCCAACCTGTGCCTCCGGACTTCCTCCGCGCGGCTCCGCCCCTTGTCCCGGAAGCAATCGCTGCAGTCGGAGGTTTCTGGGCTTGCTCGCGGGGCGCACTTCCTTTTTATCCGACATCTTAGCAAGGCGACAGTGGTCGCGGTTGTTCTCCGGCCTTCACTATGGTGAGCTCGGTGTAGGGGAAAGTGGCGTGGTTCTGGGAGCAAGCGGTGCCGGCGCGCGTTTGGGGCAGCATCGGCGGAGGGCTCACACAACTGCTAGGCCACGTGTGGAGATGGGAGGGCTGTAGCTTCCCCCATGTGCTCCGGTAGTGGAGTCTGGGCAGGGTGAGGGGCGAAGGAGTAGCGGGAGCGTGGAGGGCTGCCTTGTGACCTGGCCGCATTCCGGCTTATCTCCTACAGCCGCCCAAGGACGACAAGAAGAAGAAAGATGCCGGAAAGTCGGCCAAGAAAGACAAAGATCCAGTGAACAAATCCGGGGGCAAGGCCAAAAAGAAGGTAGGAGTAAAGCCCCTCAAACGGTGAGGGATGTTGGGGGCGTCTAGTCTCATTTACCTGTACTGTAACAAATGGCTTGTAAGGTTGTGGGGTTTAGAGTCAGGTTATTAAGAGTTTACACTCACATCACCATTTTGGTTTTGACTCATATAAAGAATGGGGGTGTATATGCTACTCGGAAATAAAGTGTACTGAGCTACTTTAATTGGGCTAGTGGGGCTCAGCCAATATCCGAAAGCCTCAAAGATAGTTTATTTTCCCCCCAACGTAATGTCTCCGGTGCCTTCAGCAATATCCAGGGTCTCTTATACTTTGAACTTGGCTCTATGATTAGTTGAGCCTTCATTTGCTGTGTTTGCAGATTCTGAATTTTATAGGTTTCTGCAGCCCAAGGGACAGACCCACTCTTGTATAACTGCAACCGTGTAACAATTCTTTGAGTCAGGTTGTTCCAGAGAAGGGAAATACTGGTCCTTAGAAGAGCACTGATTTTTTTTCCCCTCCTTTTCTTCCTTTTTTTTTTTTTTTGTGGTGAGCAGAAGTGGTCCAAAGGCAAAGTTCGGGACAAGCTCAATAACCTAGTCTTGTTTGACAAAGCAACATATGACAAACTCTGTAAAGAAGTTCCCAACTACAAGCTTATAACTCCAGCTGTCGTTTCTGAGAGACTGAAGATTCGTGGTTCCCTGGCCAGAGCAGCCCTTCAGGAACTCCTCAGTAAAGGTGAGAGGAGGGTGTGTTGTACTGGTCTGTATGCTTTTTGCACCTTGGTTTGGGCTGACCATGTTAGCCATTTTAAATGCAGTAGGTGGAGGTTAGCAATACAGTTCTAGCATGTTATTTAGGCTATCGGTAGTGCCTACGTGGAAACAGTGATTTTCAAGTTATAGTAAAGTGTTATGAGGGTAGTCATTCCAAGAGCTGGTAATGAGTCCCTTCTTTTTAAGGGGTGAGTCAGGTTAGATTACACCAAGAAATATAGACATGTCTCGTAAACTCATGCTTAAATTAAGAATTTTTAGTTTGTTGAGTTTTTATAGTACTATTGTGTGAAAATTTTATTCTCTCTTTCTAGGACTTATTAAACTGGTTTCAAAGCACAGAGCTCAAGTGATTTACACCAGAAACACCAAGGGTGGAGATGCCCCAGCTGCTGGTGAAGATGCATGAACAGGTGAGCTGATAAAGATTCGTGAACCTGGGGCTCCTATACGAAGTACACATCCCCTTCACAAGGGTCTATTGTTCTGATTTGATTTTTTTTTTTAACAGGTCCCACCAGCTGTACATTTTGAAAAATAAAACTTTATTAAATCAAATAAGTGGGTTTGTCTGTTTCCTAAGAAAGGCAGTTACAGGATAATAGCCTGTAACAGATTTGTTGTCTTGGCTTTGAGCCTTATAGTGGTTGGAAATACATCAGGAAGCCATTAGCTTTTTTCCTTTATGTGACTGCTGTTTGTTTCTTGCTGCAGCTTCAGTTTTGAATTGATGCCTGAAAAGAAATGAAAGGTTAGCAGCACAAAGAGTGAGATCTCCACGGGGGAAGCAGGTTGGGCTCCTGACACTGGGCTCATACCTGGATTGCCAGCGGCGTCCATTATTCCAGACCCGGCCAAAAGAGGGCAGCCAGCCAGCACTGGTGCTGGAGCTATGGTCAAAGTTGGCCCCAACTCTGTCTGGTGGGAGCTTCTTCAGTTTCTGTTTTTCCTCTACAATGAGTAGTTTTATTTGAGTGGGAAGACTTAAAGAGTAGGAAGCCTTCATCACCATTCCTGTATTAACTTACTTTCTTTGAGAAACTCTTCATAGGAGGGTCCTATTTGTTGGTTCCCAGAGCTATAGTCCTCATCTTGGACCATCCAGGGAGGTGTGGCACCTGGAAAAGGAAGACCTTTTAAGCAGAAATGAAAACATTTCAGGACTTCTGGACCATGGGAATTAGGCTTAAGCTTATTGCGGGCATGACATAACAAATTGCACACATTTAAGGTGTACAATTTGAAATGTTTGGAATAAAGTCACACCGTGTATCCTCGTGCCACTTTAAATTGGTTTTTTAGCGCACCTCCTTTATACCCCTTTCCCAGGCCCGGGCAACCACTGATGTGTGTTCTGTTGCCATAGATTAGTTTGCCTCTTCTATAATTTTGCATAAATGAAATATAATATGTACTCTACCTTTTAGCATATTCTGAGATTGTGTGTTGCATGTATCAGTCATTCCTTCCTTGTTGAGTATTCTTTGAATTGTTCAAATTTGCTGGGGCATATTTAGATTTTTTCAACTTTTAAAGAAATTGCTGAACTCTTCCAAAGTAGTTACATCATTTTGCATTCTCACCAGCAGGTTATAAGAGTTCTGCATACATACTTTTTTTTTTTTTTTTTTTTTTGCTGTATGACATGGTCAACTTGTTCCCTGTCCAGGGATCAAACCCACACCTCGTGCATTGAGTGCAGAGCCTTAACCACTGAAGCACCAGATAAGTTCATAGTTCTAGCTATTTTGATGACCAACTTTTTAAATGCCTTTATTGAGTTTTGTGCTGCACTTAAGTTGCTTGAGTTGTGTCTAACTCTGGACTGTAGCCCACTGGGCTTCTCTGTCCATGGGGTTTTCCAGGCAAGAATACTGGAGTGAGCTGCCATGACCCTTGCAGGGGACCTTCCCAACCCAGGGATCAAACCCATCTCTCTTAAATCTGCATTGGCACGCAGGTTCTTTACCGCTAGTGCCACCTGGGAAGACTGTTGAGTTTTGAGAGGTCTTCACATGTTGAAGATAGTTTCTTCATCAGATGCTTTTCTTTTTTTGAAAAACATGTTTATTATGCTAAAGTTTCGCAGTGTTCCATTTTTCAAGCAAAATATTTTTTTCCCTTAGTTGAAACACAAAGAGGCTGTGTGGCTGTGGCAGGTCTAATGCTACTATGGTGGGCATTATGTAAGGTACAGAGACAAGTAGTTTTAGATATTAAATACAGTTCCCTGTGCTATACAGTAGGACCCTATTTAGTTTATACCCTTTTTTTTATTTCCTTCTCCACAACTGCATGTATTCTTGCTATAAAAGAATTGTCCTTAGTTATTTTTCTTTAATATAAAAATATTATGCATATTATTTTTAAAAACACAGAGGTTGAACAAAAACCCACATAAGAATTACCATGTCAGGTGGGAGGGGGGACCGGGATGGGGAATACATGTAAATCCATGGCTAATTCATTTCAATGTATGACAAAAACTACTGTAATGATGTAATTAGCCTCCAACTAATAAAAATAAATGGAAAAAAAAAAGAAAAGAATTACCATGTCCCTGTAATATTATCAAGTGTGAAACAGATCACCAGTCCAGGTTGGATGCATGAGACAAGTGCTCGGGGCTGGTGCATCCCAACCCAGAGGGATGGGATGGGGAGGGGGCTCAGGATGGGGAACACATGTAAATCCATGGCCGATTCATGTCAATGTATGGCAAAAACCACTACAATATTGTAATTAGCCTCCAACTAATAAAAATAATTGGGGGAGGAATAAAGCTGCTAATACTTAAAAAAAAAAAAAAAAGATGTGAGAAAGACATCAAGATAACAAATGTTGGCAAAATTATCATACACTGTTTCACTGCCAAGTAAAACATCCCTGGTGAATAAGTAGCCAATTGGATAAGAAAATAAATTAAGAACAATAAAAAGAAAAAAAAGAATTACCATGTCCCAACACATTTACTAACTTTAAAACATCTTAGATATGAAAGTTAAAAAAAAACCTGGTAAGCAGGTAAACATGTCTGTTACTTTTCTGAGTTAGATGCATCTGACACAGGTGTCGGGTACCCTCCTACCAGCGAAAGACCTACAACTCAAAAAAAAAAAACCCTCTTACAGTTTGAGAAACATTGCCATGGGCCTTACCTGAGTGTATATTACCAATTCCTGGTGTATCCTGTAGTGGAAAATGGGAAAATTAAAAGAAAGCCAAGAGATGATAAGGATACTCAGCCTAGAAGAAGAAATTGTACAGGAGGCGGATGGAACCACTGCCACAATGCTAATGTTGCACTGAGTTTATGTTAAATCTCACAGAGCTTAGTAAATCACTGAAAGACAAGTCTTGTCCCCACCATACTCAAGGGCTCAGGCTGGAGATGTCCAAAAATAAAGTACCTACTACATGGTAGGTAAACAAAACCCTTTCCTCACAGAGCATACATATTACTGGGGAAAAGAACTAAGTATGAATTACACAAATTACATGCACAGCTTTTTACATGGTATGACATAAGTTTTTCATGAAAAGGTGACATCTGAGCTGAAGGGGAAGGTAAGGGTAAGTAGAGAAGGGAAGGAAGACATCATTTAAGACAGTGGGAGGGAAGTTAAAGAGGAAAAGGACATAGTTGTGGCTGATTCACGATGTATGGCAGGAATCAACAGTATTGTAAAGCAATTATCCTTCAATTAAAAAATTGCAATTACATGTTCAAAAGTAAAGAGCATAGCAGGAGGCTGGAGGATAGGATGTAAAGATAGCAGGTGATGAAGTGTTTGGGACAAAACTGCAGGAGTAGAGGTTGTTCCAAGGTGAAATAGAGGCCAAATTCAGGAGATAAGGCATACTCACTGAGCAATGTGAGAGAGGAAGAAAAGGAGGTGGACATACTCATTAAGGGAATGTGAGAGATGAAAAAAAAAAGGAGGTGATAATCCGTCTACAGTTACTAGAAAGAGGAGTGGTGGGGGTTAGGTGCCTGTGGGGTATCTGTAAGTGTCCTTGTGTTGAGCTGGAACTGGATTCTGCACAGGATGATTTAGGAATTGGTGCTCCTATGTGACAATGTAGGTAGTGGATACCATGGAGGGTGAGGAATGAGAACATGATACTATGGAACAGGGCAGCAAGAGGGAAAAGCCTACTAACACAGGAACAGCCAGAATATACAGAAAAGCCAGGGGAGATGGGTGTCCTGGGAACTGAGGGGGCATTAGCCCTTTCCCAACGTGCTTATCCATTGTACCTGATGACCAATGAATGTCAGAGGTTGTCCTGTCTCCATCCAGTCAAGCTCTGGGGCTGGTGGCAGGTCCAAGTATGAGGGCTGCTGTGAGGTGGAGGCTACTTGGCTGAAAAAGACAAAACAGGAGCCAGGCTGGCAGACTAGGTCCTTGAGCCATGAGGACAGCAAGAATGAGATTTGTTTCCATGTGTCGATCAAAGTTACAGAATGTCCTGAGATGTCAGAATGTCCAATAAGAGGTTTCCTAACAGTCTTTTACCTGTTTGTCCCTTTCCGGCTTCCAGGTGCTGAAGAGCCCTCTTCTGGGTCTGGCACTGTCTGAGGCTGAGTTTGATTCAGGAAAAATAAATGTGTCTAGAATGCTTAAGAATTTGCCTAGGCCATGCTCCCCACCTCCAGAAGTAAACAAATTGACAAATTGAGGATACTGCCCCATCTGGCAACTTCCCTCCCTCCCAGCCCTGCCCTCGTTTTCCCCACTGGTAAGGCCTGCCCCCTGGTGGGCAGGGAAGGGAAGTCAAGACAAGCAGATGGAGTCCATAAATTTTTCATCAGAAGAGCTGGTAGGTGAAATGCTGGACCTGGGAGAACCAGGAATCAGTGGATTTGGATACTGCTCTGGCTCTTCCGAGGGAAACCAACCTCTAAGACAGACCGAACCATCTCCTGCCGGCTTTGCTCCACCTCTCGGATCTGAGCTGCCATCTGTGGGAGAGGGGTGACTCAGACAGGTACCAGAAGATGGGGCTGGGTCCTTCAGAGGCCGTTCCTTTAACTCACCTCTTTAATCACTTCATCCTCTTTTTCCTCATAGGAATCCAGACTTTTCACCATGGATTTCTTGAATCTAAAAAGGAAAGGGACAAGTCACCCCAGAATCCCAATCCCTGCTAGTGTGAAAAGATCCTCAGTAGATCATTTTTCTCTAGATTCTGAATAGTGTCAGACTCCCAGAAACTAAATCTCAGTAGTACAATGAACACCCATGTACCTCTCACCCAGATCCACTGTTAACCTTCTGCCATGCTGGCTCCAGTTCTCTTACAAACACATTTCCTTTCTTTCAAGAACATGAGACTTAATTCTAAATTTTTCAGCATGCATTTCCTGGGAAAAGGAACAGCCTATGAAACCATTACCATACTTTAAAGAAGAAAAATCAGTTACCCTTTTCTGATGTCCAAATTGTCCCATATTTGGGACAATATATTTGCAATAGTTTTTATCCTACAATACACACAAAGATATCTGCATAATATCAGTACTACTATCAACGAGACTACTAAGTAAAGCTCAAGATTTCTTTGCAGTTCTTTAATCCTTGGAAAATATCCTTCTAAGGGTGTACAGATTTTTGTTTTCAAATGTTGCTTGAATTCTGGGCCTCCCTGGTGGTCCAGTGGTTAAGAACCCACCTTGTAATGCAGGTGATACCAGTTCAGTCCCTGGTCCTGGAAGATCCCATATGATGCGAGCCAGCTAAGCTCGTGCCCCCAACTACTGAACCGGCACTGTGGAGCCTGCAGGCTGCAACTAGAGAGTAGCCCCCCCTCCACAACTAGAGAAAGTGCACACGCCGCAACCAAAACCCAGAGCAGCCCCCAAAAAAATTTTTTTAAAGATGTTAAATTCTTATTTTTTTGTCATTGTTACCAGTTTGATTAAGTTACATGATAATTTGTCTTTGCCTAATTTTAATATGTAAAACATTAATGGCTCTACCATGGTGCCCTGGCAGACCTTACAGGCAAAGCCTTGAACTGCAACTTATCAAAGTCTTGACAAAAGGTTTGAATGATCCTCCAGGAACACAAAAGGACAGGAGGTCTGAAAGGAACTGCTAGGAGGCCATCTCCCACTCGTCTCCTTATCTCCCAGAGGAGGCCGTTACGAAACAGTTTTTCACTAACTCCCAGTTCTGATGGGGTATGGGGCTTTCTGCTCTCAGATTAGAGCTGCAGATATAAAGCCTGTAGCTGCAGTCTAGTCTTGGCTCCCCAACAACAGTATCCCACAGTTCATGCTACAGTCACCCAGCCCTATTTGTATCACTGTGGTCCTTTTTGGTGTGTGGGACAACCTGGGAAGCTGGCACTTTGGGCTTACTCTTTTCACTGCCTATGTAAGTAATAAGCTGCCTGAATCTAAAAGTAGCTCATTTGTATCTTTACGGGTCAAATCAGTCAAGCCTGGCCTGGCCTAGTCTTGTGTGAGCTTGAAATTTATAAAGTTCAAAAATCAAAACTATATTTACATAAAAAGTTCAGAGAGTCCATCCATATAATTCTCAGTTATAACCTTTCTGCTAACTACCCTTTATTCATCCACCAAAAATTATACAGAGCTGGGTCAGGCTATAACAAGTAAGTGGCCTCAGTTTCTTTTTTTTTTTAATTTTTGACCACTTTTTAAAAAGTCTTTAATTTGTTACAATATTGTTTCTGTTTTGGCCACAAAGCATGTGAGATCTCTGCTCCCAAGAACCTGAACCCCCTGCACTGGAATGCAGTCTTAACCGCTGAACCACCAGGGATGGCCCTGGCCGCAGCTTCTTATTTCCTCCCGGCCTGAACAACAGACTGGAAGACAAGGTGATGGGGTTTAAGTACTTCTTAATTCCTCATTATTCTCCACACTGAGTAGAAAGGAATACTAATAAACACTATGTATTTTCTTAACTTTGGGACCCCCTTGGGTTCCACTCTCCATAATCTCAATACAGTCCCAATAAAAGTGGTGATGTGAGGCTGCCTGAGTCCTCTTTCTGAGGCAGTCACAACTCAGCCCCTCTGTGCTGCCAAGCTTCCTGCACTCCAGGTAGTTGGGGCCCGCCAAAGACAGTTAAAACTATTAAAAGTGAGCACTGGGTAAGCATCAGTTTTTTGCACTCTATAAAAAGCATCTTCTATTTCTAAAGAAACTTAGTAGTCTCTCTGTTACATATTAAAGTGGTTGACTATGGTCAGCTTTTATTATACGCTTCTCTATTTGCTAAATATATTGTAAATCCCACCCCCCCAAACTAGATTATAAACCTTTCAAGGACTCTGTCATATTTCATTTGTGTTCAACATGGTGCCTAGAATAATGAGTGCTACAAAGACAATGGTCACTGATGAAGTCCTTACTAAACTTTACAATTAGGAGAGGAAGCTCCTGACACAGATGCAAAGAATCCACACACTGCTACCTCATCATGTGGAGGAATGACTCACCGTGCAAAGTCCTGGGGGGAGATCAAAAACTTCTCTTTCATCTGGAACTCAGCCTTGTTTTCCCACCAGAATTTGTTGGTTGCTTTCTTGTGCTCTGGACTGAGAATGGAAAGGACAAGTAATCTCAATGACAGATTACAGAATATTACATGGCATTTGATAAATAAGGCAAACTGACACCTGGGTACTCTGGGCAAGGCTGAGAGAATACTGACAGTAGTTTCCTCAAGTTCTCCAGTTTCCCCCTTCCAATAAAAAAGTGACAATCTGAGAGGAAGTGATGGGAAGGAACCTTGACTGAGCCAGTTGTCCAATGAAGGCCATCCCCAGCACTGAGACCACTGGAACCATAAGGCCTAACCCTCAAGGTTGGCCATGCCTACAAGATGACTGAATCATCCAACCTTATCAAATCACAAAAAGTTTTTCCTCTCACCCACCCTAAACCCTCCCTCCGTTACTTTATAGATTAATATAAACCTGTTAATACACTACCGCTGTGAGGGGTTCCGGGCCCGGCGCTCACCTGGCCAGATGCTCCAGCAGCCCCCCGTGCAGCACGGTCAGGTTCCCGTGGCTCAGGTGTTTCCGCACCTCACAGCCGCAGCACAGGCACCAGCACCATCGCTCGTGCTCGGGCACGTAACGCTCCACCTGGGCGGCGCGGACGGCCTTGCGGGCGGCCTCCACCTGCGGCGGAGAGGATGCCAAGGCAGACAGGCTAAGTAGGACCCCGGCGGGATCCCCAGATCCCACCCCCTCGGGCCTTCACAGCCCCGCCCGCAGCCCCGCCCCGGGCCGTCCACGGTCCCCTCCAGCCTCCCGTCCGTACCTGCGGCAGGAGCCGCTCCAAAGCCACCTTTAGCTGCCGCTGGTGCTTGCGACTGTAGACATGCCCGCGACCGCAGAAGAAAGTCTGACGGCAAAGAGGACAACGCTGCGCCGGCGCCATCTGGCCAAGACTGGGAAGCCGCGACGCAAAGCTTCTCCTACGCGGCCCCGTGACCTCTGACCTCTGGGGGCGGAAGAACTCCGGGGCCCCGCGCCCCCAGCGGCTGGTAGGCGCCACTGCAAGTCCTTTAGCTGCTGCGCACGCTTTTCTCCCGGCTCCTCCCTGTGCGTAAACCCAACCAGTCACCAGCATCGCCAAATGCTGTCTGGCTGGGAAAGGTGAAGGGAAAGAGCGCCCCAATAGTTAAGGGAGACCGCACACGTATCGGGAACACTGACAAGGACCCGTGCAATGTAACAAATCGTAACTCGTGTTTATAGGGTGCTCAGTGTGTGTCCAGAACTTTACACGTACTCTGTGATTACAATAACTCTGTATGTGCTTGCATGCTGAAGTCGCTTCAGTCGTGGCTGACTCTTGTGTTCCCAAGGACTGTAGCCCACCAGGCTCCTCTGGCTATGGAATTTCCCAGGCAAGAATACTGGAGTGGGTTACCATTCCCTTCTCCAGGGTATCTTCCTGACCCAGGGGTCGAACCCCGGTCTTCCTCATTGCCAGCAGATTCTTTACCGTCTGAGCCACCAGTGACCTCTTGGAAGCAGAAGGCGGAAAGCCTAATCTAAGACCTAGTCGCTCACACCCATGCCCCTACAGGAGCGATCTGAACGCGGCCCCTGTAAAACTGTAAAGGGGGAGCTATAAAGGGTTCAGAATTATTGCTGACATCTTTAATCTGTAAACATGCTAAACTAGTGGAACTTTATTCTTTACAAGTCACTTCTAGATCATAGGGCTGAAATCCCCAGACTGTTGTTGTGATCTGCACCCTAGAGCTCCCTCCAAAAAAGCTGGGACCTGGCCCAGACTTTATTTGTAGGACTTGCAAACAGAGCCGTCACAGGGTCCCCAGCTTCCCTGACCATGTGTTACCTGTACTGGCGCATTAACCTGGATGGGTTACAATGTCTGTGGGTGTATACAGTCAACTCTACATAATTCAGACCCAGGAAGTAGGCAGACTCCCCTTCAGAGCTTGACTTCCTGTTGGCGCTTCCCCTTAGACTCAGGCCTTCACTAGATGTGATCCATTTTAATGACCCTTGTAGTTCTCAATTCCTTGACCTCTCCTCACTCCGCTGGCAGGGGTGATCCTGGACTTTTTTCACCAAAAACTGCACCTTCTCTGACTTCAAACTCTGAAGTTCTTCTCTGACCACCATCTTCTACCCTTCCTTGTGGCCCTACCTTCCAGCTAGTCTTTAACTGCAGGGATGAATATAAGCACTCTTATCCATTCACTGAGAAAATTATTCAGCATTTGCTAGCTGCTAAATACTTTGCTCCTTTAAAGGTTTAAAAATCTTTAAAGTGTGGCCTCCAGGTCAGCAGCATCAGCATCTGCGAGCTTGTTAGAAATCCAAGCGCTTGGGCCCCACCCCAGACCTACAGAATTGGAAACTCTGGAGTAGGGCCCAGCAATCTGTGATTTAATGAGCCCTTCAGGTGATTCTAATGACCAGTCAAGAATTGCTGGTCTAGGACTTCCCTGATGGTACAGTGGGTAGGAATGTGCCTGCCATTGCAGGGACCATGGGTTCAATCCCTGGTCTGGAAAGATTCCGTATGCCTTGAAGCAACTAAGCCAGTGTGCCGCAAGTGCTGAGCCCACATGCCAAGAGCCAGTGCTCGCAACAAAAGATGCCACTGCAATGAGAAGCCCATGCACCACAACTGGGGAGTAGCCCCTGCTCACTGCAACTAGAGAAAGTCTGCACGCAGCAAGGAAGCTCCAGCACAACCAAAAATAAATAAATAAATAATAATAAACAATAAAAACCTAGCTGTTAAAAAAAAAAAAAAATCACTGGTCTAGCTCTTAGGTCCTCTTGGCTTTGCTTTACCCACTGGAACCCAGAAATATTTTCACCACACTCTCATGGCAACCTATTACTTCACTTGACTTACCAAGCTCTCTCATTCTGTCACACCCCAACCATCAACCCAGCTATCTCATCTGTCTCTGTCATTTGTTCCAAAACTGCATTAGGTAGTCTACACTGTCTGCTTCAAATTCTAACTTCTCAGCCCTCTGCAGTTTGGCTTTTGAAACTGTTTCTCTAAAGTCCTCCACTATTTATTGGGCTGCCATTTGAACTAGATTGTGTGAAATGGAACTCACCATCTTCCTCCTCAGATCATTCAGTTTTCATCCTCCCAGAAAATAATACCACCAAGTTAAAGCCTGGAGTTTTGGAGTGAGTTATCTGTGACACTCCTTTAGTCCCCACATCTACCCTGCACAAGTTGTCTTATTGGATTTATGAGATGTTTAAAATCTGTTCTCCACCTTTTACACTCACAGAGTACACTTTATTTCAATTCCCTTCCTTTCTTGTTTTGATTCATGTAAAATCTTTGACTGGTTTCCAAGTGTCTGGTGTACTTTACCTCCATTTATTCTCCAGACTCTGGTCTAAAGGTAGTCTCTAAAATGACTTTCCTGATTAATGTCTAAATTGCCTTCAAGAAGTATCTAAGTTTTGCAGCAAGAATTTTATACTAAGTTTCCTAACCTCCTTTTCAGTCTTATACCCCACACACCCTTCCCCTTCTCCAGGCAATATTCCTACAGTTCCACAGCTTCTTTGCACTTTAGCATCTCCAGCCCTTGGTTCCCCTAGAATTTACTTCTTTCCAGCTCTGCCTGGTAAATTCTATTATATATAATAGAAATATGAAACTGCTGTGAAATATGAACTAGAATGGAATTTCCATAAGGCTGGTGATTTTGTCTGGAACATAGTAATACCTCAATCTATTCATAAACTCTTGGATCAATTCATGATTGAATGAATGAAATGTTACCCCTTTTGTCAAGCCTACCAGAGTGGATCCTGCAGGATTAATTTTTCAATTCCAAGATCCTTTGCTCATCTTGTTGTCATTTTGTTCAATAGTCAGTTGAAAATCTAACAGTTGAAAGATCAAGTGTAGGGACTGTGTTTTGGTCATGCCTGACTTGGCAGAACTAGCAGAAAGGTGTCGTCAATGCATGTTTGTCAAAATCATCAAAACTCCAGAAACCTTTGTGTTGACATGCCCATGGGGTAGTAATCTGTACTGGGAAGAGCCTCAGAAACATGCAGCTAACAGCCTCCTAATTATGTTGCAGAAAGAGGGCCTGAGAGTGGGCTCTTTTCTAACGCTCAGAAATGAATTGTCCAAGGAAATACATGTGCTGACAAAGCAAGAGACTTTATTGGGAAAGGGCAGCTGGGCAGAGAGCAGGAGGTAAGGGAACCCAGAACTACTCTGCCACCTGGCTCACAGTCCCAGGTTTCATGGTGCTAGTGCTAAGTTGCTTCCGTCGTGTCCAACTCTTTGCTACCCTATGGACTGTAGCCCACCAGGTTCCTCCGTCCATGGGATTCTCCAGGCAAGAATACGAAGTGGGTTGCTGTGCCCTCCTCCAGGGGATCTTCCTGACCCAGGGATTGAACCCATGTCTCTTAAGTCTCCTGCATTGGCAGGTGGGATTTTTACCACTAGCACTTATGGTCATAGAATTAATTTCCAGGTTGTCTCTGGCCAGTCATCTTGCTTGACCCATATTTGATCTCAGGGTCCTTTCTAGTGGCCCACGCATCTCTCAGCCAACATGAATTCCAGTGTGAAGGATTGTGGGAGGTTGGTAGGACAGTATTATGGCATCTCCGCTCTCCTTTTGGCCCCTCCCAAACTCTCCCAGTTTTTGGTGGCAGCACCATGTTCCTTACTGGGACCTCCTGTTGTGAGATAACTTAAGCAAATGGTCATTATTGTGCCTGGCCAAGGTGGGCAGTTTCAGTCAATGGTTCCCTAACAATTAATAGTATCAACCTACAAAACAGCCTAGTGGATAAGTTTAAAGTTATAAAAAGTAATTTCTTATTAAAAAAAAAAACTGTACCGAGGTTATAAATAAAAAAGATTGGCCTCCATCTCTTTGCTACCTGCCAGTCCCCAAAGATGACTACTACTGTTCGATATCTATATTCTTCAAGGCACTTTCTGCTTCAACAACATATGTGTATCTATATAAACATAGTTTCTGTCACATTTGGAATCATATCGAACATACTGTTCTGCTACTGTTTTTTTCACCCTAAAAATGCATTGTGGATATCTTTCTACATCAGTATATTGAGTGTGATTTAAATACTGTCTGTATATCCCTCTGTCAAATGTGTTTACATCTTCAGCTCAGCCTTATCTTCTGAACTCCAGACTTACAACAATTATCATCTTGACATAACCACTGCGATGTCTCAGATTCTAAACACAAAACTGCTCACACCTGCTACTCATTCACCCAGTCACTCAAACAAAAAACCTCAGTCACTCTTTTCTTCTTCTGCATCTAATCAATCCTGTTGACCTGTTGATTCTGTCTCCACCCTATAGCATCAAATTGGGCTGCTTCTCCCCCTTTCTATTGCCATCTGGATTCTGCAGTCATCTCCCTACAGGCTTCCTGCTTCCACTTTTGCCCCTACAAGTCACCTTCAGTGAATAGCTAAGCATCATTTTAAAAATTAAAGGGAGTTATGTCAGTTACTTCAATTACTTTTCGCTATACTTGGGAAAAAAACAAAACCTCTCAATTTCACATCATAGCTTAGAAGGGTCTGGTCTCTGCCTCCCTTCCCAACATCACCTTGGTTACCATATTCTGTAGCCCATCCCCATTCTCTCAACAGGCCAAGATGAGGAGGTTCCTACCTCCTGAGCTTTGTCTATTCTGTCCCACCTACTAGAACACTTTTCCTCACCATGCTTCAGCCTGGCTACTCATTAAACAGGTCTCAGGTAAAATACCTTTCTTAGAAAGGCCTTCTCTGACCTCCTCTCCAATCAGAGTTGAGTATCCATATTGTCTCTCTCACAATAACCTAAGTCTACCTTATTAAGATTTATCATCATTATACATTATTAGCACATCTGTTTAATATCCTTTGAGACTGTGAGGGAGGTTGCTATCTGTGAGGGAGGAGTCATTTTGGGTTTCACTCTATCC